GCACTTTGTCCTCGGATAGGCCTGGGACCTTGGTGGCTTCTGACCATGAACCTTCCTGACCGAAGCTGACACGGACCCTGCCACCAAGTGATGTCCATATCTCCTTGGGCTCCTGACAATTTCCCAAATCACCAACATCTCTTCCTTTCTGACTTGCACAATGTTTTCTTTGGGGTCGGGACAGGAGAGTGGAGAAGACCAAAAGCCAGCAGAAAACCCTCAATTCCTTGGCGGAATCCAGCCTCAACATTGTGTCCCGCATCCTCCTGTCTTTCCTGTGTATGTTTGGTGAAGTCCTTTGATTCACATTCCGATGGACACGGACCTCTTCCAGCTCCTGGAGGTCCTGGAAGTTAAGCAGCCATGTCATGGGAAGCATTTGGACTCGGATAGTGTGGGAAATTAATGAGAAGTGAGTGGGCAGAGTTGAGCGGGGGGCAACGGCCAGAGTCCTTGGCCAGCCACGGAAACGAAGTTGTTGGACATGAGTGCTGTGGCGTTTGGATTGCCTGTAATGCAAGAAGAAAATAGTACTTTTCCTTGATTTTAGGCAAAGAAGATGGTTAGAACCAAGCTGGGGGTGATCAGTCGTTGCTTATCTATGTAATGTGAGACTGGGTGGCCCTGCGCTCTTAAAAAATGCACAGATAGTTCTCAGAGTAGGAATTAGCAGGTGAGGACCACCTTAGGGGCCACCCAGATCCCCCATCCTCATTTTACACGAGGCAGCTGGAGCCCTGGAGACCCGAACTGGCCCAGCTCTCAGGAGGCAGAGCTGGGGCTGAAGCCCAGGACGGTCAAGTGCTCATCGAGGCCATCTGTGCCATGGGATTCCTTCACTGGGTGCTTCTTGCTGCCAACAGCCAGTCACATGACCTTGGACGGCTCCTGGAACTCGGGGGTTCTGGTTCCTTATCTGTCAGCTGAGGCCAAGGAACTTCGTGATCTGCAGGCTGCCTCCCAGAAACCACATTCCAGGATGCTCTGTTCCCCTTCCAACCCCAGACAGCAGGGAGCAGCCTGGCCCCCCAGCCAGCAGGCACTTTCATCTCCCACGCTCTAGCCAGGGGTTGTTTTTCTGGCCACATGGGTCAGGACGGAGGATTCTGGGCTTCCTAGGCTTCTAGGTGAGTGCTTCCTTCCTTTGGCCCAGATAGGAACAAGAAGATAGGAACAAAGGTGGTTTCCCTCCACCTTTGCTGGTCCGTGACTCCTGCCCCAACCCCATCCTCAGCCTCTATACCTGAGAACCAGGAAAGTGGTTATAAACACCAGCTCCGGAGCTGGATGGTCTGCTAACTGGGAGACCTCGGGCAGTCAACCGGTCTCCCCTTGCCCTCTGTTTCTCCATCTGTAAAATGGGGATAGTAACAGCCCTCATCTCCGAGGCAAGGACTGCATGAGCTACTATGTGTAAACCACTCAGAACCTGCCCACAGTAAGGGCCACACACGTGGGGTGTGTTTTGGTGTTATCGCAACTGTCGCATTCATTCCTATCCAACATAGAAAAATCCTTCCCTTCCATGGCCCGGCCAGAGCCTCAACTGCTCACTTCTAGCTGAGGGAGTGTCTGCAGCAGGATAAACGGGTTCAGAACCAGACCCACGCAACACCAAGCAATCTTCGGTCTCCCTTTGAAAGAGGACCTCCCTGAAACCTCGCAGAAAAATGTCATTGCCCCGCCCCCGCCCCCCACTGAAGTGATTCCTGTGTAACCACAGTCAGGAGCACAACTGGCTGAGAATCTCATTCACTTATTCACCACAGACTCAGTCTCCACTTCCCTTCTCCAGATTCCACTGGGGCAGATCAAATGTCACAGGGGATCACATCACATCACTGTCGGCCCTGTTCACTGGCCCCCGAGACTCCCGGGGAAAGAGGCAAGGGAAGCTCTGAGCCACATCTCTGTTACACTGGGCACACAGTGGGACTTTGGCCACTGCTCACCCCCTTGCTTTCTCCATCCCAGCTTCCTGCCCGTCCGTGTGGGGGTCTTCACAGCGCCAGCCTCCTCACACCCCAGGTTAGCGAGACCGGCTGAGCTGGGGCTCCGTTCCACACTTCCTCTCCCAGCCTAGACACCCGAAGCACCAGTTTGCAGAGCCAGGAGGAACTCTGCCCCCATCCCTGATTTTAATTAAGGACGAACGCATCCGGGAAGACTCAGAGATTCTGTTTCTCTAAACCCAGATCAATGTGTTTGTGTGGTCAGGCCCAGTCATCTCAACAAGAGGAATGCGCATACCCCAAGGCTGCCCAAGGACCATTTTTCCAGTGGCCTTTCAGCAAATGTCCACCCCAGAGGACAAACAGGGAAAGTGGAGGATGGTTCAGAGTGAAACATGATTGGAATCAAGAACATGAGCACAACACATTCAAGTTCTCAAAGCCCAATGAACGAAGTGTTTTCCATCCACGATGTGCCCTATGTGACTAAACAGAGGGTAACCCCAAATAACACAATCCCCCACTTCCCTGATGAGGTCCACTTAACACTTTTTTGGCTGACTTAGTAGGAGTGAGAGGTGTGGTTGTCTTGGAGGTAGGGGATGGGAATGGACTGGTAAGAGGCCAGAGCGAACTTTCTGGAGTGAATGACGGATTCTGTACCTTCACTGGGGTGGTGGTGACTTGGGTGGTTTCATTTGTCACATTTCGTCAGCCTACACCCTTAAGATCTGTGCGTGTTTGTGAATGTAAATTTTACCTCCATAAAAGTAATTAGAAATAGGAACTAAATAATATCTACTTATAGGCACGCCTGGGTGGCTCAGTCGTTAAGTATCTGCCTTCAGCTCAGGTCATGATCCCAGGATCCTGGGACATAGCCCCTCGTCAGGCTTCGCGGGAAGCCTGCTTCTCCCTCTCCCTCTCCCCCTCCCCCTGCTTATGTTCCCTCTCTCCCTGTGACGCTCTCAGTTAAATAAATAAAATCTTTTAAAAATATATTCTACTTATAATATTTAACCTAACTATGCTGTTGTATACTTAAAATTATGTAAGAATAACATATTCATCTATATTGCTCTTCTCATTCACACATCTCCCAAAAAGATGTTATGCAAATGTATCTCCTTTGAGATCAGCATCTATCACAACGAAGCTACTTTTCAGTTGTTTTCCAGAGCATATCATCTTAAATTTGTCTAATTAATTTGGAATGCAGGACGTTTTGAATCCAAGATTCTTGCTGAAATTTTATGGCAAAACACAAGTGCCTATCTGCATAACATTGCAGTGGTTTTTCTCATTTGTCTTGTGATTACCCGTGATCCTCACCACATGAGCGACCTGTGTTTTGCTTTCTAAAATGAGCTTTAAAATATTTATCACAGTTTGACACACTTGCACCTGAGGAATAATCCCCAAAGCTGTGTTAAATCTCATTTCCTCTTACCCGTTATTTCCCTCCCATGACCTCTAAAAGCAGCCAAAACCAGCATTGATTGAGACCGTTTCAGCTGCAGTGTCTTCCCAGGTTTTGTGGTTCAAATAAAGTAATTGAGGGGCGCGTGGGTGGCTCAGTCATTAAGCGTCTGCCTTCGGCTCAGGTCATGATCCCAGGGTCCTGGGATGGAGTTCCGCATCGGGCTCCCTGCTCAGCAGGGAGCCTGCTTCTCCCTCTGTCTCTGGCACCCCTCTCGCTTGTGTTTGCGTGCTCGCTTTCTCTCAAATAGATAAACACAATCTTTAAAAAAAAAAAAATAATAAAGTAATTGAGACAGTCCCAATTATAAGACAGTCTTAAAGAATAATAATTCCTAAACTAGGAGAGATTGGTAAAGGCAACGCTCTCTTTCCTAATAATATGAGGAAGTAGACCTTCATCTTATTTGGTTTTTTTTTTAGGTATATACAGTAAATCCTGGCATATGTGTTTAGACCAAAGATAAAGTCTGGATTAATGCAGCAGACCTGGAGGTCTTATTTTAGAGTTCATTATGAAAAGATTAGCACTGTTGGCTTAAGTTGGAAGTTTCTTTAAGTTAAAATTTTTAAGTTTTGCTCCCTACCATGAATGGGAAGCTGAAACACTCTTGAATAAATTCAAACACACTGTATTTTCCTCAAGGGCATTAAAAATAAGAGTGTTTGATTTAAACAGATGATTCTGGTTAGAAATGGGGTTATAAACACAATCCTAAATTATGAATTACTAACTATGGATTTTACCACTTGACCTGAAGTTCTGTCTAGTCCTCAGCTAAAACTGGTGTGGTCTGATGAGGTATATAAAGAAGTCTTGGTTTTTTCAACATTTCCTCAGTGTAGGCATCAAAATAGTGTTGTTCTCCAAAAAACCAACATGGGAGACCATATGCTGTTGTTTCGGGGTGTTTCATTTTCCGTGTTGTCGTTCAGCACTGTTGTCATCTGAAGCAAAATCAGATAACTCACCAAGAGCTCGCGGGCAGATAAGCTCCTGCGGCTCTCGTTGGAGCAGAGAGTGGGGCCCAGAGAAGTCCTGCTAGATGCCTCTTCTCCTCTTTAGGGAGACAACTATGGGGTTTTACAGCACCCTGGGAGTTCCATCGAACACAGTTTGAAAACCTCTGGCAGTGGACTGTGCATGAGGGCTTGGTCTCAGAAGACCTGGGTTCTGGGCTCTGTGATTATTGGCCAGTGACAACCTGAGTCTCAGCTTTCTCACCCAGACAAAGGGTATGAAAGCTCATCTCAGAGAGTAGCTACAAGGAGGCCTATAAATGTGCTTTGGAAACTGTGAAGTATGGGGTTTGTTTTGTTCCTGGAGTCTTACTCTCTCCTAGTCACATCTCAACTGCATGCTGTGTACCATCTCATCTCACTTATTTAAGGACTTTGGATTGTTTGGCCTGGTTGATGCTACCACTCTGTCCTTCAGCTCCACACTCTCCACTGGAGAATAGATAAGGGGGAGGAGCCGACTTTGTTATCGCCCCTAGAATAAGGGATTCCAGCCTCATGATTCATTCTTGGGGCAGAACACTCTGAAAGATTTCTTTTCACTTTCAGGTGAGCCAAGAGAAGGGAAACTGCTCTTTCCAGAAAAACCCAACCCCCTGCATCATCCCTCAAGAGCAAGAAAATATCTTCCATACAATATTTGCCTTTTTCACCAAGTCTGGAAGAAAAGTCTTGGTAAGAATTTGCTTACTAGTTGGGTTAACATGGGTGGTCCTCACTAGGAAGGCAAGTCTGAGATGAAAGGCCAGTTTTCTCTTTGGCATTTATTATTTCCCAAATCTGGTTTCAATCAATTGGCGTATAAAGTCACGAGGACTGTGGTCAACTCCCATTTTTCAGCCTGAGGTTTCAATCAAAGTGTTAAATTTACATTTCAAATTCCACTGCCTGGCAAAGGGAAAACCTTTGCAACCCACCAAGCACAAAGTAAAACATTTCCCCAGCTCGTATGAGTCTAATCAAGAGTGATGGTTCTCCTACAAGTGCTGTTGAAAACTCTCGGGCAGGATCTGCTGAAATTAAACATCTCTGTACTCTGAGACCCAGCAGTTCCACTCCCAGGTGTATCCCCAAGAGAAATGGGTATTTATGTCCCCCAAAACAAGTGGTTGAGAATGTTTACAGTAATCGTCCTATAGCGAAAATCTGGGAACAGTCTGGTCGCCATCAACAGGAGAACTGGTAGACCGTTGTGGTGTAACTACACCCGGGAATATTACAGAATAACGAACAGTACTACCACACATGGCAGCAAGAATGGATCCCACGGACATAATAATGCTTGAAAAAAGCTGGAGCCAAAGCGCACACACGAAGTTCAGAGACAGCAAGATTAGCAGTGGTGTTGGAGGTCAGAATAGTGGTTAATCTTTTTTTTTTTTTTTTTTTATTATTTGACAGAGAGAGATCACAAGTAGACAGAGAGGCAGGCAGAGAGAGAGAGGGAAGCAGGCTCCTTGCTGAGCAGAGAGCCCGATGCAGGACTCGATCCCAGGACCCTGAGATCATGACCTGAGCCGAAGGCAGCGGCTTAACCCACTGAGCCACCCAGGCGCCCCAATAGTGGTTAATCTTGAAGGGCTATCAACAGGCAGGGGTATGAGGGGAACTGCTTAAGTACTGGAAACGTTCTACATCTTGATTTGGATATAAACATGTAAAATATATCAAGATGGACCCTTAAGATTTATTCTATCTACTATATGTAAGTTACACCTCCATTGTTTTCAAGTGAGGGTTTTGAAGATGGAATTGTACACTTCCCCAAAGCCTCCTATTCCCCCATATATCTTCAGCTCCTTATTTCAGGCTGGGCGCATCTCCCTCACATTGTTTTTCTCTCTCTTTTTTTTTTTTTCCTAAAAAAGAAAGTAGGACTATTTGCCCCTTGGGATATGGGGGTGTGGGGTGCCTAGGTGGCTCAGTCAGTTAAACAGCTGCCTTAGGCTCAGGTCATGATCCCAGGGTCCTGGCATCAAGCTCCATATCAGGCTCCGGGACAGACCGAGAGCCTGCTTCTCCCTCTCCCTCTGCCTGCTGCTCTGGCTACTTGTGCTCTCTATATATCTCTGTCAAACAAATAAATAAAATCTTAAAAAAAAAAAAAAAAGAATATGGGGTGGTTTTTTGGTTTTGAGGGTTTTTCTTAGTTTTGTTTTTTTGTTTTTACTTACCTAGTGCTGATGATACAACTATTTTTAAAAGCCCTTAGAATTGTTAGGTACACTGATATTTAGTGGTTTGACAGACACAACTCTGTATCTGACTGACAGTCTTACCCCACACTTGAAACATCATAAACATATGTATATACGTTTTGGATCCTACCTTACAGAAGAGAAGAATTCCTCTTGTGTAACTTTAATTTGGAATTGTGGTTTCTATTGGTAACTCACATATTTTCTTGGTCAAACCTGCGCTTTTCTTTACTCATGTGTTTCATGAATCCTATGACTTCTCAGCCCTCTCATTTGCTCTACCTGAAAAAGGAGCATGAATGTATATTTGCCACCGCACAGGCAAAAATTACATAATGTAGGAAACACATCTTAGTTCAGAACTCATAAGAAAAATGCTTTTGGAATATGTAAATGTTTATTTTTAAAATGTTTGTTTTTTTAAAGCAATTCTTTCTCCTTGTGAAATCCAATTTTGGGGTAGGGTAAACCAGTGGGTGACTTTTTCCCATTTGCTTGACAAAAGTTCGGTTCTGGTGCTTTGTGGGCAGGAAACCCCTCTATTGCCCTCTGGTGGCAAGAAGGAATGATTGCACCTTCCTATGGAATTCCTCTGCCTGGGATCCTCCTAGTGACCAGAATAGAACCTCGTGGAGCCCTCTACTTCATAAAGCGCTGTGCATTTGTCTTTGTTTTTAATACCATTTGACAGACAGTTCTCTGATTTTTCTTCAGGACTGTGAAAAACAAGGAATTTCTTGCCTAACAATGCACTGTAACCTTAGTGCGCTTGCTAAAGAAGAAAGTCGTACTATAGACATTTACATGCTGCTGAACACAGAAATATTGAAAAAGGTAATACCTGGGGCACTGCACTCTTTGGGTTCATTTAAAAGCATCGGAGTGGGTCTTCTCAGAACTCTGCCTGTTAAAACTTTTCTGGCAAGTTCCATTGGTAGTTTGCTGCTGGAGGATGCTGGGGGTGGCAGGTACCAGATCCTTGCTATATCAAGGGTGCTCTGAGGACCAGCAGTATCAGTGTCACTTGGGAACTTATTAGAAATGAAGAATTTTTAAGAGAAAAAAAAGAAGAAAGAAAGAAAAGAAAGGCAGAATCTTGGGCTCTATGACCCAGACTTACTAAATCAGCATCTTCACTTTAATAAACTCCCCAAGTGTTTTGTGTATACATTTGTTTCTCAGACTTTAGCTTGCATCAGAATTATCTGGAGACCTTGTTAAAATGCAAATTCAAGTTTGACATTCTGTATTTCTGACAAGCTCCCAAGTGATGCCAGTACCGCTACTCTTGTTCTAAATCAGTGGTTGACAGACCTTTTCTGTAAAAGGCCAGTAGTAAATATTTCAGGCTTTACAGGCCATACAGTCTCTTGCCACAGCCCAGCTCTGCCACTGTATGGTGAAAGCCACCACAGGCGATCCTCAATGGGTGTGTTCCACATTGGCTGTGTTCCAATAAAACTTTATTTACGAAAACAGGCAAAGGGCCAGATTTGACCCTTGGGTGGTAGTTTGCCAGTCCTTCGTTTGGATGACACCTTATTTCAGAGAAGCCCAACTTTTGAATTTCAGGTGACTTTGCCAGTATGAGTTTATCATATCAAAAGTGGCTCATTTAAAAATACTTCAGTCAGTGAATTGGTGGTTCTTAAAAAAATGTCAGACAAATTCACTGATTTATTTTAACAGAAGAGCTGCTGAGTATGAAAGGCCACATCCAATGAGACGCTTTAAAAATAATCACTTGTGAAGATAAAATATGCCCGTTAGCCACAGAGATTCTATTCATTTTCCTCTGGAAGAGCTTAATGTGTTCAGTGTAAACCTGAATGAATATCTTTAGAAAAGTCATTCCAATGTTAGTTTTTAAGGTAGGCGTGACAGTAGCGTGCTGACCTGAGAAATCGAGGCAGGAGGGATGCCAGCTGCTCTGCCCACTGACCATCTGTAGCTGGCCCAGCCCGCCCCCACCCAGGCAGAGCCCTGCCCGGTTCCCTTCTCTTTGGTTTCCTTTGCAGGAAAATCAGTTTGGGAGGCGTTGGGCTCTCATAGCAGTGATTCCCTGTTGTGCTTCTCCTTTTAAAAAGGACAGTGTTGGGAGAGGACCCGACAGGAGCCAGAACCCCAGTAGCTATCCTGAGATTCCAAGAAGAGGGTTTTGAAGCCCCACATTACAGGAAGTGCCTTCCAGGCAGGGGTCCTCAGGACCCTGTGTACTTACCTGCCCTTGACCGGTGGCTCTGGTGACAGTTTTTTTCCCCACGCCACAGTCATCACTATCGCCAGAGTCCTGATGATGGCACCGAGGGCAGGAAGCCACTCTCATTCCTCTTTCACCCTTAACCCAGATGTCAGCTGCTTGCACTCCAGTCATCTGTCCTTAATTTAATCGCAAGGCCCAAGGCCTTTCTCGCATCCGGCTCTGCGGCCTCTCTGTGTCTTTATCCCACCACCGATCCATGGGGATCCTTTGCTGAGGGGCATGCCCCCCTGACTGCTGTTCCCAAAGGCCATCCATCCCAGTCTGCACCCCAAGAGACAGCTGCAGGGTGTCCTCTGTAACTGTGAGAGGCTCCTTCTCCCTGAAAACGCCCTTTCCTCAGAAACCAGAAATTCCAAGTGCAAAAGAGAGCCGAAAAGGAGGCTGACCTGGAACCAGATGGGACCCCAGCTCCTCCCAGAGCTTGAAATGCAGAAAGTCTGTCCCCTGAAGCCAGCCACGGCCTCCCTTGGGAAGTGAGCACTAGCAGCCCAGAGCCCTCTGGCCTTCCTGAGGGAATGGAGCTGCTCCAGGCTTGTGGTTTGCCTGGGCCTACCGTCCTGTTTATTTTCCTTTGACCTCAAGGTCCGGCTCCAGACCAAGGAATTTGAGGTCTTATTGTTTGGATCTTAACAGGTTTTCATTTGAAAAGTGGGGTCTGACTTTGTAAATTAGCAGAGGATTCCGATTTCTCTGAAAGTGTTCTCGGCCTTTAGCTCTGACAATTGCCATCATCGTCATCATTATTGTTGTAAGACCATCCAAGATGTGACGATGATCCAAGGTTGCCAACACGGTATATCCCAACACACAAACCCACAAATCTGTGAAACTGTTAAATTGGCCAAAAGCTTATCTGCCTACAAAATTATTTACTGCTTAATGAGAGCTCAGTGGCGCAGTCCGTTTGAGCGACAAGCTTCCCAGAAGGATTCAAAATCGGTGTTATTGCTGTTTTTAAAAAAGAGCAATAATCAGTGCGTGGCTCCCAGGTAAAGGATACAGAGTGGCGGCCCCGGGTGTCCTCCCAGAGAGGCCTTTGTGGTTTCTTCGGCAGAGAGGAGCAGAGGGCTCCCTCAGAGTGTTTTCTAGAAGAGGGTCCTCCACTTTCATTTTTAGAGGGTAGGTTTTACCAGAAGTGGGGCAGAGCTGCATCTGATGGGTACCTCCCTGGGTGGCAGGCTGAGGAGATGTGGGTAGGTGTGCCCCGTGACACCTTGCTGGCAGAGCCCCAGCCGCCCCCATGGGTGGGCTGCCTACAGTCTGTTTCCACGCCAGAAGTTTCCACCCAGGGTCGTGTAGCACTGACCGTCTCCACCAGGGGCTCAAGGTCCTGACCCTTCCCAGAGCCACAGTTCTGCCCTGTCCTTTTCCAACTTCCTCCTCCCTTGCTGCCTGGGAGCCATTTTCTCATTATCTGGATCTGAGCCCCCACCAAGGCCGGTGACTGCCTTTGGTTGGTGGGCTATTCTGAGTGTTAGAAGACCCCACGCCCACCCCAGTGTCGTTGCTCTTCGGGCCATCGCCTGATATATAAGCCGAATGTTCCCTTTCTCATCCCTCCATCCTGTACCCTCTCTCCGCGTTCAATGGCGTTGACCCCCCAGGCAGTCTCACATAAGGGCAGAGAAAGAGTTAAAAGTAACTCATGTGAAGGGTTTGAGGGTTGTGGTCAGAGCAGGAAGATGCTTGAGAAATAGAAATCAGATGCCTTCTACGGAATGCCAGGCCTGGATTTGTCGTAGACAATTAAACAGCTTTATTTATTTTCTGCTCTTTGTGAATATGTCAGTATCAATATCCAAATACCTGGCTCTTACCTCTTAGAAACCGCAGCACACCAGCTCTCATGTATTGATGATCGGCAAAACTTCAGTTTCTCAGCACCCACCATGGCGTGAGGGAATTTGAGAAAGCTCTGGAAAGCTCTGCTTCACATAGGTCCCGGGGATAGGGGAGGCATCTAGTTCAGTGATAACATTTTTGTCTGGCCCACGTGGAATCTTGGAATTTAGTTATACCCACTCCCTTAAGGGCCAGACATTGTCATTTAAAAAAAAAAAAAAAAAGGAAAAGGAAAATCTGTCACTGAGTTCTGTTGCTTCTTCCACAGGACAGCTCATCTGTCATCCAGTTTATGACCCGCGCCAAGGTCAAGGTGGACCCTGCCCTGAGGGTGGTGGAGATAGCCAATGGGAACCCAGAAGAGATGATGGTGAGTCAGCCACGCCTGGAATCTGGGTGGTGTGGTGCTGGAATTCGAGGGTAAAGATGGTCTCTGGGCCAAGATGTCAGCTTTGTGGTAGACCCAAGACCAGGCCTGCCTTGGCCTCCAGGCCTGCATGGAGAGCTTCTGTGGTCTGCTCCTGTGATAGCCTTGTTCTTCACGGTGCCACCATTATGTGAAAGCTCCCTGCTATGACCCGCCAAAGGAAAAATAGTCTGGAAGCACCCTTGACAGGGCTTGGAGTTCCACTCTGAAAGCCAAGACGATTTTTATCTTTCTCAGACCTTTCCCTGAAATCTCTTCTGCCTCCCCAATCACATTGCTCCATGGATAAACACTGGGTGTTTTAAAAACAAGTTGTTTGAATAACTTGAAAGAGGTCACATCTAGGTTTCCAAGCCCTAGAACTTTCTTTCATTCTCTAAGCCCTTGTCCTTTGTAAAGTGCCATTGGGAGGCAGGCCTCAGAGACACAGGAAGGCGTAGCAGCCGGGAGGCTTGGACGTGGAGGTGTGGGAGAGGCTGGAGGAGAAGTGTGGCCTTGGGATTTTACTGCCCTTTACTGATTTACAGGGTGGGGATGGGAGGCACGTCCCTGACACCCACACTGAGATGCTAGCAGAGAGAAAGAGGACACAGCAGCCTGTGAACTGTTTTTGCCACTGAGCTAGTGCCAGTGACGCTACCTTTTGGTACCCCTTCCCTGGAATTCACCTTCTCTCGGGGGACTCTTGGAAGAGTCCATGTTGCTATGACAAATTTACCAATGTGATAAATTCATAGAGATTATGTACCTACAAAGAGAAAGTGGTTAACTTATTTCCCGTCGATAATGGAAATACCACGCATCTAAAGGTTAGGATGGGGAGCAGACTGAAGCCCGCTCTTATGAGGCCCTAAAAAAATAAGTCTCTGGGGACCACCACGAAACCTCAGTCCCGCTGCTGTGTGTGGTGAGCAGGAGATGAGCATTGGCTGGTCCAGCATGAATGTGGATCTGTGAGGTGGGGAGGGGTGTGAGAGCCACACCGGGACCTGTCTCAGTGCTGGGAAGGACTATCAGACGCAGAGCTTGACTCCTCTGTTCCCACTGAGGAACTGGCCAGCCGCTCATTTTAATAACAGAAACCGAATGGGATGCCAAGGAAAGGCACTGGCATCTCTCATCCTCGAGGGTGAGTTTTGCTGGAGGTCAGATATTCGGAGCTGGCGTTGGCCGTTCCCTCCCTGCCTTTTGGCCATTGCACTGCTAATTCGGACCCTCACCTGGGAAGTGAAGGAGAATGTGATTCATCGCTCATGGTCATCGCTCTGGTTAAAAAGACTTCCAGAATGCAGTCCATGCCCAACAGGGAGGTTTGGAACGTTGGGGTAGACCACAGTGTTCCCAATTAAGAGCTAGTGGATGTAATTTAGCAGGTTTTCTACAGGTAGAATTCCTTGTGTAGATGAAAAAAGAAAAAAAAAATCACCGGGCACATTGCCTTGGCTGAGAACATGGAGCTGTGGGATCCAGGAAGACATTGCTTAACATCCCATTGTCAGCTTCTGAGTCATCTGTACACCCCCAAAATACCACTTCCATTAATTACTGTTTCACTTTGAGCACTGTGGTGATATTTCCATTATCAAGAATTCTTTGGAAGAAGCTCTCATTTCCACTGATTTTTCTTTAGCACCCAGCCATCAAAATCCTACAACGTACCCTTATCCCTCCTTTCCGGGACTTTGCCTTTTCAACCCATGAGCTAAGATGAAGTCCTACAATCTGTTCTCAACTTTCCTGGCAGGGGGGAAAAAAGTCTTTTCTGAGTAGGAAGGTTTGCTTTTTTAGAACAAACACGTTCTTCCCTGCGTGAGTCTTCTGAATGCCTGGCTTTCTGTCAGCTGTCTATTTGAGGGGAAATTTCCATGGAGGATAGCCACTAAATTTAAACCAGGCAAAATTTCACAAGATTGTAGAATAGGTACCACATTTTGAGGGCCTTGGAACGAACAGGAAGTGTACGGAGCAGGTTGTGGGCAAGGAAAGGAAACAATCCTATCTGTAACCACCTAATGTGTCCCCGGTGGTCAATTTCATCAACAGAAACATCCCCTGATTTTCCTGGGACCCTTGGAATCTTTTGTTTTTATGCTATGGTCTGAGTAGTGCTTGACAAAAGCATTTGGGTGAAAAACTAGAAATACGTAATAGATTCTTAAAGCGTCTGCCCTGATATTCATAAATAGGTCTGGGAGTACTTTTCTGGGTCAGGTGTTAGCATTTGTCCAAGACCAACCCCACCAAGCGCCCCTGGTTGTGTGCAGATTCACACGTGAGAGTTCCAGGCGAGACCGGTGGGGTGGCATTCCGTACCGCTTTCCAGGGGCCAAGAATATGCTGAATTTCCTATTCTTATTCAACCCAACCCAACTTTTCAGGGAGAGTTGCCAACGACCAGGGCTAAAAATTCCCCCAGGGCCAACCAAAAATCTAGACAATTGGCTTTGCCACTGCGAACCACCAACCCCAGCTCCCTTCTCAGGCTGGATGAGAAGCTTGTAGGAATTACAGAGCAAACCTATTTTCTTGATATTTTCAAGTAGCAGAAAATATGATACATACATAAATCCCCAGGTGAATACGTCATTGCCAGGTGGGTTGGGTAGGGGCTGAGATCTTAGGAGCCAGCAGGAGGGACTGGTACTGTCATTTCGGCAGAATTGGAATGGGTTCAAAGGCTATCTGGTGGCTCTCAGCATCGCCGGGAAGGCTGGAGAACCAGACTGGAGACAGGACAGGAGTTGAGACACCCAAGGAGCCAGGATCCCCAGGCTCAGTCCGGCTATAGGAAGAGCCTGATGTAGTGCCCTGGACACAGCTGTCCCTACCTGGCATCTCTGGGCCTCTTGCTGAGTCAGGCAGGAGCCTCTCGCTGGCTGAGGTTCAGTCCCTGTCTCAGGGAGACCACACCCCAGGGAGAGCAGGTCACGGGCACTTGGGCCTCAGCATTGCCCTGAGACTGACACAGAGTAGGATTCCCCAGCACTGGACGCGGGGTCATAACAGGACTACTAAAAAGTGACAAATGCTTCTCTAATCTTGAGGGTCAGCATTGGACCAGCTAAGCCCTGGCTTTTCTTAGAGCGCCTGTCAGAGCCAGAGTCCTCGTTCAGTCACTCAATCATTTAGACCACTTCGTTGGGCAAGCATTGCGGCCTTGGTGAGAAAATGAGAAAATCTTTGTCCAAAAATTGTTAAGGAGTGTTTGTACTCTTTGCCTTTTTTTTTTTTTTTTTTAAAGAAATAATGTGCTTGAATCAGCACTGTTTCCTTGCCTATTGAACAGAGCAAATGTTTGGGGCCCTCCACCTTCTGCCACGGTGTATGGGGACCGTAGGTGCACACTAGCATTCACCTCCCTCGTGCAGCCTGCTGCCATCAGCATCCCTCCCGCAGAAGGGAAGATGGGTCAGAATTTTGGCAAGTGCCCAGAGATTCCCTCGTGCCTCCACCTCCCCACCCCAGATTAGAACTACTAAGCTTATTCCTCTTGTGAACAAAGGGCCTCTGACACTCGGGAAGAAGAAATGACTTGCCCAAGACCTCACAGTGACTGAGCCAAGAACAGTGCCCCAGACCCTTGACTCCCAGCCTGGTATTCCTTCCCCCTCCCCACTGCAGCCCGCCAGTCCCACGGGAAGGCGTTGAGCCTGCAGGGGTGAAAGGGCCTGGACAAATGCAAAGTATCCAGGAGGGAAAGGAAATCACTGATTCGTTTTAAAGTATCTCTGTTAAAACCACCCAGGTGGCCTTGGAGCCTGGCCAGCTCCTTCAGACTGGACCTGGCTGTCCTCACCCCAGAGGCGGCTTTCCCCTCTCGGTCTAATCAGACCCCAGAATGAAGCCTCAGGACTGCAGCCGTGCTTCCACTTCTAAGGAAAGCTGCCCTATTAAGCACTCATTGATGAGCACAGCAATTTTCTCCAAAGCCATTTCAGTTCAGTTCCCAGGCTTGGCCCCTTCGAGAAGTCATCCTCTGTGGAAATGGAGCATGGCATCTCCCCCTTGGGAGTGAGAAGAATCCAGATTCAAATCCATCTCCTTCACATCCTAGCTGTGTGACTCTGGATGTCAGGTTGGCTCTGCAAGCATCCATTTTCCCACCCACGAGACGGGAAAACTGCTTTCTACTTGCTAGAGACTTGTGCCTTTGTTCTGCACCCTACCATTGCCCCCCAGCTAAGACATAAGCCAGGGCATCTCAATCAGAGAGGCATCACCTAACGTGGTGAACAGAGGTGACTCCAAAAAATGCCACTTACGGTCCTTTCGTTGTGCTGCTTCCCGATACAAGCCTTGAACCTCAGATTACATTGAGATGTAGGATGAAGAAGAGAGTCATTGGAAGATCACCACAAGGCCCATCGCATACCATCATCCAAAGGTGGTCCTCCCCCTCATCCCCCACCCCCACAAGCGAGAATTCACTTGTAAGCATGAGGAATTGAGTAGTATCCCAGCACCGTCTGCCAGAACATGAGTCTTACTTCCTAATAGTCACCATTTGCATATTTACTTGATCAATACTTATTGCGGGCTTGCTAAGAGCCAGGTGCTGTAGTAGGCGCTGGGTTCAATAGGGAGCCAAGTAAACACGGTCCCCGCACTCCCAGAGCTGAATGAGAGGACAACAGATGGTAAACAGGGAAGCAAAGAGGATATCATTTCAAACTGGGGTTAGTTCTATGGGACTCACCTGCTTTCTATAAAGGGGGTCAGAGAATCTTTCTCCAAGGACATTGAGACCTAGAACTCGAGAAGGAATTTGCTGGCCAAGGATGGGGAGAAGCACCCCAGTTTGCCTGAAGACCCGAACAGCCCGCCAGGTTCACGACTCAGAGACCAGTGTGGCAAGAGCCTGGGGAACAGCACAGATATCCGTGGGGGGAATGTGGGCATGGCCACACCATGTCATGCCAGGGGGTGGTAGCAAAGGGAAGCCA